TCTGAAGTTGGCTGGGGCTGAGTAACACTTCTGCCTCTTTTCTCACTGACTGCAGCATAGAGGACTGTGGGGCATTGCTCATTCACATCCACTTCACCACAGCTTCATTATCCTCTGCTCTCAGGCTTCCACATGACACCCATTTCATTTTGAGCGAGGGCCTTTTCCTTGCTGTGGTCTGCCTCATTTTGTTCCCTTCATCATACTGTCATTTCAGGACATCTGGCTGCCTATGTCCACAAAGTCAATGGGACTGCTCTCTGTTGTCTTCATTTCTAATTTGGGTGGTTTCAGTTTTGTTATGAACAAAGCTATGATCAAGCTGCCTGGGAGGCCAAGGGCTGGCTTAAATACATAACCATTTCTCCACCCCTCAACTCTTAGTCTTTATTTTTCTTCCCTGACACGTACCCCCTCTCTTCTGTCTACCCCTTGCATGTCCTTCCTTCTTTATTTTTTTCTTGAGACAGAGTCTCACTATGTAGCTCAGGCTGGCTTCAAACTTGTGATTCTCTTACCTCAGCCTGCAGAGTACTGAGATTACTGGCAGCTGCCACCACACTTGGCTTCTTTCTTTCTCTTTTTTGTGACACTGGGGCTTGAACTCAGGCACTTCACCTTGAGCCACCTAAGGGGAAGGTTTTTTGTGAAGGTTTTTTTCAAGATAGGGTCTCATGTAACTCTTTGTCCGGGCTGGCTTTGAACCTCAATCCTCCTGATCTCTGCCTCCTGAGTAGCTATGATTATAGGTGTGAGCCACTGGCACCCAGCTTGGCTCCTTCTTTCTTGATTTAAACAATTTTTCTCCCTCAGGACTCTGTTTTCCCACTACTGATAAATACGTATTGGGTTTCCTATATTTGGGGAAAAAACTGGGTGGGATGGCTCATGTCTGAAATTCTAGCTACTTGGGAGGCAGAGTTTGGGAGGATTATGGTTCAAAGCCAGCTGGGCAAAACAATTGTGAGACCTCACCTCAACAACAACAACAAAAAAGCTGGACATGGTGGTGTCTGCCTGTCACTTTAGCAACACAGGACAGGAAGCACAAATAGAAGGATTGAGGTCCAGGCTGGCCTGGGAAAAAACTTAAGAACCTATCCCAAAAATAACTAAAGCAAAATGAGCTGGTGGCATGACTCAAGTGATAAAGCACTTACCTGGCAAACATGAGGCCCTGAGTTAAAACATCAGTACTGAGAAATATTGAAATAAAACCCAAATAAATGTAAAGACATCTCATGTTCATGGATTAGAAGAATTAATCCTGTTAAATTGTTATATGAAAATATATTGCATTAAATATGTATAATTACTATGTTTCAATCACAAAAAGTCCATTCTACCAAAGCTATCTACAGATTCTTGCAATCCCTATAAAAATTCCAATGACATTTTTCATAGAAATAGGAAAAACAACCCTAAAATTTGCATGAAACCACAAAGACCCCCCAAAACTTCTATTCAAGCCACTGTTGGATTTTTTTTGTCATGTAACCCTAATCTGTGTGCTTTTATGAAACACCCTGGATTGCCTACATCTGGACTTGAACATGAACTCTACATGTTCTGAGGATCACCTGGTATGATGTGGGTCACCAGTCTACAGAACGTAACAGAGTGGCAAGTGGCTCTCATCTGAATAGGGGAACCTATTGGAAAAAGGGATTGTATTCTACCCCATGGAGCAGAATCCTTAGTGGTCCAGAGGGTTGACTGAGGCAGGCTTTTGGTGGGGAGAACACCCATTCCTTAAACCAAGGGAGAAAACAACACAGGTATAACAGTACCTGATTTCAAAATATACTATGAATCTGCTTCTATGCGTTCGAAGTTTTAGGTTCACAGTTGATCAGGCAATATTTGTCTTTCTGTGCCTGACTTATTTAATTTCATGTGATGTCTTCCAGATTTATTCCTCTTGTCACAAATGTCAGGATTTCCTTCTTTTTAAGCTGAATTTTATTTTTTGGTAGTACTGGAGTTTGAACTCAGGGTCTCTGCTTGCTAGGCAGGTGCTCTATCACTTGAGCCACTCCACCAGCCCTAGGATTTCCTTGTTTTTAAAGGCTCAATGGAAGAGGTGCTTAAATTATGTTTGCTAAGAAAGCTTGACTCCTTACTTGGATCCATGAATTAACTAACACCGGGAGAAAAGCTTGGCACCTCTGTCTCCATTTTGTACCTATTGTCCTTTGCTCTGAGCCATTCTGTCCTGCACCTACCTTGGAATCAAGAAAGGACAGGAATGACTGATAACATCTTTATGCCAAGGGACTGAAACTACTCCTTAAGGACCCAGCAGAGCCTTGCAGGACAGACTACCCTTCCAAATGAGGACAATTACCTACAGTGATGAAGCTGCACCCAGGAGCAGGCACAATCATATCATGGGAATCAGATTGTTCCCCTCGAGTGATGACAGCAAGATAATGGTCAACCAGAACATACCTGTGACTGGGACTGTTCATGCATAGCTTTTGTCCCTGTCCCTAATTCTTTGTCTATTTAAAGCAAAAGCTCACGTCTGTACCCTGAAGATGGCTGAAGAAGGGCTGAGTGCTTACTCTTCCTCTTCCCATGGTGTGTCCCGGGCCTTGTAATAAATCTCCATTCTATGCCCTTCAGCATGCCTCTTTATTTGGCAGATAGAGGCTAGTGGAAGGATCTGGCACATAGAATTCCAGGAGTTTGGGCTTTGGGTCCAAAACTCTGGTTTCATGAATAGTATTCCATTGTTTATATATACCAGCATACAGTCCTCTCTAAGCACCTGCGCCCAGAAAGTCATTGCATACAATTGAGAGGTTTGTGAAGTTAAAACAGTGAAGTCAGTTCATAATGAAAGTAGAAATCAAGCCAGGAGCTGGTGGCTCAAGCCTATAATCCTAGCTACTCAGAAGACAGAGATCAGGAGAATTGAGGTACGAAGCCAGCTGGGGCAAATAGTTTGAGAGACCCTATCTTAAAAATACCCATCACAAAAAGGGCTGGTGGAGTGGCTCAATGTGAAGGCCCTCAGAATTCAAGCCCCAGTACTACAAGAAAAAAAAAGGTAGAAATCCTGTGTCTGGATATAAAGCAGATTGATGCCTAAGGAAGTTGTAGTGGAACAGTGGAAGTGAGTGAAACCTCAGAGGGGCAAAAGCTTGATAACTAAATCTTGAGGAACCGCACATTAAGGAAATAAAGAAGGGAAAATGCAGAATAATGCCCTATGGACAAAACCATCTGAGACAATATTAGCTGATTCTTCCAAGTAATCTGTAGAAAAAAATTGTGCTTAGTTTAATCCTACTTCTTTTGTCATACTTATTCATCTCTAGCTCTCATATGCTGACTAATTTAAGAGTAATTCAGAGTTATTTTTTCATTATCTAGGACAACACTGTCCAGTAAGCAGTCACCAGCCATAAAATGTATTTAATCTTAAATTAATATAAAGTTAAAAATTCAGCTCCTTAATTATACCAACCATACTGCAAGTGGTAAATAACCACACATGGCTAGTGACTACCATATTGGACAAAGAACTTTCCATCTATATGGGGCTATATGGGGAAGAGAAGGGACTAGACTGCCAGGGTTACAATTCATTCAGTTTCACTCTAAGCACTTAATTCCTGCCAGCCCTATCCTAGGTGCTGGGGAAAGGAAGAACAGCATGGTTTTGGACCCAAGAAACTCAAAGCACACTGTGAATAATATAACTGAACAGTACAGGCTTCTTGTCTGCAGCCCAATGGTGTCAGTGAATTGAGAAGCAAAGGGACAGTTTATTAACAAGCTGGCATGTTGGAAGATGGTAGGCTCTTGCCCCTGCCCTAAGAGAGAATCTCTCATATGATTTCTCAAGAGAAGGCATGTGGGTCCCAAACAGGCTCAGTTGTCTGGTGTTTCAAAAAGTAGCCTCTTTTGGAGTATGAGTTGTTTACATCTTGGTTACCTAGGTTCAGAAAAGTTGTAGTCCAATGGATCTAAAGAAGACATAAATGATCAAAGTTTCTGTATTGATTAAAGTGACTTGTGTCTAGGTGTTTTGTTTTTGTTTTTTTTTGTAGTGAGTGATTCTAGCCAGCAGGGATAGCCTTCTTGCGTAATTTGGGACTAGGGAGTGCTCAGGAAGGGAGGATCTGTGTATTCTAAGTTTACCGCGCAGTTAATCTATAAAAGATAGACTCCAGTGGGCAGCCAGTCCTTAAGAGAGAACGAGAGCAGGCCGGAGTTAGGAGAAAGTTCTGACAGTGGGGTCTCGGTGGGAGAAGGCTTATGCACCTTTATTAAGTTGAAAGGGCTGGGAATGTGGCTTAAGTGGTAAAAGTGCCTTGCCTGTCTAGCAAGCGCAAGGCCCTGAGTTCAAACCTCAGTACTGAGAAACAACCAACCAACCCCCGCAAAACAAAACAAAAGAACCCCACGATGTTGAAAGTTCTTTAACAGAAGTGTGCACAAGGTATACAGTAAAACCCTGCTGCGAGGCGGGATGAGGTTAGGACTGCTAGGACAGGTTGCTGTCCCGGTGCGTGGTGGGTGTCCAAGGATTCCCTGGGGTCGGATCTAGCAGAAATGGCTTTCTGAGGTCACAACAGCTCTCACCGGACTGAGGGGAGATGAGGCATAAGGGGTCCCAAGCGCTTGAAGGCGAAGGGGAGTTAGCAATAATTAGGTCCTCACTGAAAAGATACAGGGATGGGGGAAAAAAACGTAAACAAAACAAAAACACCAGGAAAAATACAGGAGTGGAGTTTGCAGCCTTGAGGGTGGGATGCAGGGAGGAAGACAAAAAACTTCTCACAAAAAGCAAACAACAAGTAGAAGCCAGCGTTTTGGAGACTGAGTGGACCAAAGCCTCAGAACAACCAGCCGCCGGATCCTTGCTACTCTCCCCGGTACTCCGTACCCGTATGGAACTCTAGTGTCCAGGTACGTAGTTTCACACCGGAATGGAAAAGCAGATGGACCCACAGGGGAGACAGGGAGGACCCGGCGGGAAAGAGCGGCGGACCCGGGCGGAAGTCACGCATAGCTTTCGGGAAGGTGAGCGGGCGCTAAACCGCAGTTGGACCTCTGGGAACTAGAAGGGTGACGCAGCTCTGACAGGTGAGGGTTGAGGGGCTGCTCCATACCGCGAACACCCTGCCTCCCGAGGCCGGGAGGTGTGGTCCGACACTCACTCCCGGGTCCGGAGCTGGACGTTTTGCCACTAGCTGTGTGACCTCGGATTTTGGAACCTCCGTTTCCCCGTCTTTATAATTGGAATAATAGAATCTCCTTCAGAGTCGTTGTGAGAAGTCAAGGAAAATACACTTAGAACAGTTTCTGGCACATAGGAAGTCCTGGATTCACAGTCTTTACTAAGACTACTTCTAGAATCACGGATTCCGTTGTCAAAACTCGCCATTAACCTCAGCCCGGTATCAATTTAGAAAAAAAAAAAAAAAGAAAACATTTACAATTAAAATTATAGTATTATTAGAAAAGCAACACTACTGACAGTTTGGAGGACAGGGTAAATAACGTTACTTATAATCTCATCCTGAAGTGGAGCTATAGAAGATTATATATATATGAATATAGTTAGAAGTTATATTTTTAATGTCTTAGAGTGAATCAGAAGTATCTAGTGGAAGTTTGTAAGGCCAGTTTGTAAGGCTAGTTTTAGCTTCAATACTGAGTAGCATTGTAACTTTTGGCAAGTCACTTCATTTCTTGGTGTTTGTTTTCTACAGAAAGGAAGTACCTTCCTTATTTTTGGATTCTTACATGGATTGAGATAATTTGAAAATATTAAGAGTGTTATTTAGACTTTTTTTTTGTTTTTGGTAGCTCTAGGGTTTGAACTTAGGGCCTCATGCTTGCTAGTCAGGCACTCTGCCACTTGAGCCACTCCAGCCCAAGAGTGGTATTTAGGATAGGACTGGAGGTGTGTCTCAAGTGGTAGAACACTTGCCCCAGAACTGACAAAAAAAAAAAAAAAGTGGTATTTAAATGTGATGGTATTATTGCTACTGTTAGGTTCTAAATAGTAAGGAGCTCAAATAGTGACTGATAGTAAGAGTTACCAGTGGTAAGGCCAACCAGTTACCAGTGGGCCTTGGACTAGGGGCTTGTTAGACACAAAGAATCATGGGGATCTCTTCAGAGTTACTGAATCAGAGAATTCTTACAGCCATCATCCCATCTGATATTAAGAAGAGCCTCTCAAGGTAGACAGGGCCTTACTCCTGAGGAGCGGGAGGACTCAAAAGGTCACCTGGTTTATTTGAGAGCAAACAGCTGTATTAGGTTTACTCCTACAAAATTACAATACTCAAATATTTACAACTTAATAGGTTTAACCACATACAAGGCTCATTGTAGCTCCTCTTTTTATAGATGAAGTGCTAATGTCTAAAGTCAGTTGGCCAGGTCCTAGAGTGAATTACTTGAATATTTTACTTTTTTGGAACCTATTGTTTCTTTTAAAAATCCAGCATAAGAATTGCTTTAAAACTGACACAACCTCGCTGGTGGAGTGGCAGAGTGCCTGCCTAGCAAGCATGAGGCCCTGAATTCAAATTCCAACACTGCCAAAAAAAAATTGATACAACCTCTTGAGATAGTTTTTGGCACATACTTGAATTATTTTGGGGTTGATCATCAGCTCCATGAAGCTGAGACCTGTGTTTTTAGTCATACTGGTATTTTTCACAATGCATAGTGTGATATTCTGTTCATAATAGGTACTGAGTAAATGTAGAATTAGAAAATAAATTTAAATCAGGTATGGTGTGACACAACTATAATCCCAACATTTGAAAGACTGAGGCCAGCTTGGACTACATAGTGAGAATATGTCTCAAAAAATGAGATTTATGTATTTCATAATACATGATCCTTGTATTGGAACTTGTGATGCATTCATTGCCACACTGGTAACTTCAGTGTTTCTTCTGTTATAGGTGGAATTGGACTGTTTGTTGAAACTTCTTTCTCTGGTAGCCAGGGAGAAATTTACATTTTGACTTTTTCTTACCATGGCTTTGGTTCACAAATTGCTGAAAGGCACTTATATTCTCAAAAAATGCCTGAAGCCAAGTGCTGCCTTGCGTCCAATTTTGGAGTATTGTTCCAGTAGTCTTCAGAAACCAGTGGCTCCTTATAGCAGAGTCTCCCAGCAGAGCAAGACTGAAGAGGGGTTGCATGGACATCACCAAAAAGAGGTGGCTTTGGATATAACTTCTCCTGAAGGGAAGACTGAAACTAGTTTTGATAAAGCAATTAGAGATGAAATAAAGGACCATTTTAGGCATTTGAAGGATGAAATTGTGACTCGTTGGATGGGGTCACAAGGCCGCCCACTGCATGAGGCCTTGATGGAGCAAGCCAGGGTTGTCTGGCAGTTCCGTGGAAAAGAAGATTTAGATAAGTGGATGGTGACTTCTGATAAGACAATTGGAGGCAGAAGTGAAGTGTTCTTAAAAATGGGCAAGAATAACCAAAGTGCACTGCTCTATGGAACTTTGAGCTCTGAGCCGCCTCAGGATGGGGATAGTAGCCAAAGCGGGTACTGTTCAATGATATCCAGGATCCCGAGGGTAGGTAAGGCTTAGGAGCCACAATTTCCTAGTGAACTGGGGGGAACTGTGAACATGAGCCGTGACAGCTTTTTTTTCCATAAATGAACTCACCTGGCATGATACATGTGTGGGCATCTCACCTGTATATGGGCATGAATGACTACGTGGCCCAAATGCAATGTGAAAGCACAAGGGGGAAGTGGTTTCTGAGGAGGAGTTATTTGTTTCTAGGCATTGTTTTGGGTCAGGGAAGAACATTCCTATGTTTGAGGAATCCTGAGAGGGAAAGATTTGGATCTCCTCTAACATAGACCATAGTCCCTCTTGTGGCCAAGGGTTTCTTATTGTGGATGTAGGATCAACTTGTGGTTTTTTTTTTTAAGTAGACTTTTTATTTTAGAATAGTTGTAGGTTTACTAAAAATTGCAATTGCAAAGTTCCCACATGCCCTTCACCCGGCTTCTATTGTCAGCATCTTCTGTCAACACTGCATTTGTCAGGATTGAGAAGCTAACATTGGTACATTCTTTTTGTTTTTGGCCACATTGGGGTTTGAAATCGGCCTCATGCTTGCCAGGCAGGCGCTTTACCATTTGAACCACTACTCTAGCCCTGGTTTGTGTTGGGTATTTTCCAGATGGGTCTCCCGAGCTATTTGCTGGGGCTGGATTCAAATAAAAATCCTCTGATCTCTTCCTCCCAAGTATTTCGAATTACAGGTGTGAGCCACTGAACCCCTCACACATGGTACTCTACCACTTGAATCATCCCCTAGTCTTTTTTTTTGGTAATACTTGGGTTTGAACTCATGCTTGCTAGGCAGACACTCTACTGTTTAAGCCACTCCACCAGCTCCTTTTTTATTTTGTATTTTGTTTTTGTCATTAACTTTGTCTGCTTTTGTATAGCTGGGATTACAGTTGTACCCCACCATGCTTGGCTCATACATTTCTTTTAACTTAATTCCAGACTTCATTTGTACTTCATTAGTTTTCCCAATAATCTACTTTCTCTGTTACAGGATTCCATCTAGTATAGCACATTACATGTAATATCATGTATCCTATTTATCTTTGTTTATTTTGTTTGTTTCTCTTTTTTATTTTTTATTTGTTTTGAGACAGGGCTTCATTATGTTGCCCAGGCTGGTCTTTAACTCCTGGGCTCAAGTGATTCTCTCACCCCAATTTCCTGATTAGCAGGGACTGCAGGTGCACTGTTTTTCGTGAGGAATTGAGATGTATCGGTCAGGTATTTTGTGGACTTTCTGATTTTTTTTCTCCTGGTTCGACTGGGGTTCTGGGTGTTTCACGGAGAGTTGAAAGTATGGAGTTGAGGTATCTTTCTCGTCACATAACATGAGTACATGCTGTTGTCATATATATCATTGATGCTAACCTTTATCACCTTGTCAAGGTAGTGTTTGCCAGGTTACTCCATTGTAAAGTTACTTTTTTTTTTTCTTTCTTTTTTTTTTTTGTGGTACTCAGGACCTCACACTTGTAGAAAAGTGATCTACCACTTGAGCCATGCCATCAGCCCTACTTTTCTTTGTTTGGGGGGCAGGGGGTGGGATTGCCATTTGAATTTATGGCTTTGTGCTTGCAAAGTAGTCACTTTACTTCTTGAGCCACACTTCCAGTCCATATTGCTCTGGTTATTATTATTATTTTTTGAGGTTTTTTTGTTTGTTTGTTTGGTTGGTTGGTTTTTTTTGCAATACTGGAGTTTGAACGCAGGGCCTCACGCTTGCTAGGTGGGTACTGTATAGGTTGAGCAACTCTATTAGCCCTTGTTTTGCTTTTATAAGACAGCTGGTGTGTTGAGTATTTTCAAGATAGGGTCTTGTGAACCATTTGCCCAAGCTGGCTTTGAACTACCAGCCTCCTGATCGCTGCCTCCTGAGTAGCTAGGATTATAGGCATGAGCTACTGGTGCCTGGCCTATGTAATTATTTTGACTTTGAGTCTCACTATGTTGCCCAAGCTTGCCTTGAACTTGGGCTCAAGTGGTTCTCCTGCTTCACCCTCTTGAGTAGCTGTGATTACAGATACATACCACCTAGCCCGGTGTCAATTTCAGAATTTTTTTTTTTTCTGTGTCAGTGATCAAACTCAGAGCCTTGTGCCTGCTAGGCAAGTACTCTACCACTGAGCTATAACTCCCTAGTTTCAGAATTGTTAATCTGTAACCCTGTGCAGAAATAACTTATTAAATAGAATACAGTGTTTATGTACAGTTTCTGTTCTTAGTCTCAGGCTTTCTGGTTAAGACACTGTTTTCCAAAGTTATTTAGGTCAGTTCCTTTGTCTGTTGACCAGCCTCTGGCTTTGTGTGAAATTTTGCTGACTTGCTTTAGAGCTGCCCTGCACAGGCTCCTATGCCTGACGCTGGCCATAGCCCCTGGACATTTGCTTGGATATTGTGCTTTAAGGAAAAAGGCAAGTGTCAGGAGTCGTATTAGGCTCCTTTTCTCCATATAATAATGAAAGAGGAAGCTATGTCCTTTTTCAAATGCAACCAGTGATACATACAAGTTGTTGGGTTGTTTTGTTTTTTTGTTTTTTTTGTGGTACTGGGGTTTGAACTCAGGGCCTCATGCTTGCTAGATAAGTGCTCTACCACTTGGGCCACCCTGCTAGCCCTTTTTGAGATAGGGTCTCTCGAACTGTTTGCCTGGGGCTGGTTTGGAACCGCGATCCTCCTGATCTCTGCCCCCTGAGTAGCTAGGATTATAGATGTGTGCCACTGGCGCCTAGTACAAGTTGTATTTTTAGCCTCTGAAAATTCACAGAATGGATGGTCCTGATACTGTGGATTAATGAAAATAGATAAATTTGTTAATGCACCTTGCTAGTCCTGTGCTAAGCACTTTATATACATTGTCCCATTTATTTCTCACAATAATCCTGTGAGGTAATACAATCCTAATTTTATGTATGAGGCAACTGAGGTTCAGAGAGATTTTGTAACTTATCCAGTTATACAGTAAGTATTACTTTGTATTTGAGCATCGATATTCTTTTTTTTTTTTTTTGGTGGCAGTACTGGGGCTTGAACTCAGGGCCTTCACCTTGAGCCACTCCACCAGCCCTATTTTTGTGAAGGGTTTTTTCAACATAGGGTGTTGTGAACTATTTGCCCGGGCTGGGTTCGAACCACAATCCTCCTGATCTCTGCCTCCTGAGTAGCTAGGATTCCAGGCGTGAGCCACTGGCTCCCGGCAAGCATCAATATTCTTTTTTTTTTTACACATTTTTTTATTTTATTCATATGTGCATACAATGTTTGGGTCATTTCTTCCCATCGATATTCTTGAAACCAGATTATCCTTGAGATACATATCAAATGCCTCTGGAAATTAACACTAAATTCCATGTTCGAAGAGAGAAACAGTAGAGATAGCTGTTAAACATATAGATTTGAGAGTTAAACAGCATTAGATATACTGTTTATTATCTGAGTGTTCCATTTCTTTATTTATGAAGTGGGGTAAGATAGTAATACCTATCTCATAGGGCTTGTGTGAGTATTAAATTAAATTATGCATGCAAAATGCTTAATGTAGCATTCAGTGGATACTAGCTATTGTCAATTAAATCCACTTTTAAAACTTGAGCTATATTTTCCATAAAGTTTTTTTTTTGGTGGTACTGCGGATTGAACCCAGGGCCTTGTGTATGATGCTCTACCATTTGAGCCATCTAGCCTTTTTGTTTTTTAAGTAAAATCTCACTAAGTTTGCCTAGGCTGGCATCCAACTTACTGTCTTCCTGCCTTTGCCTCTATTTTCCACACTTTTCTGACAGGACAAGGCAGTTGTTATAAAATGGCCACTCAGAAGCTGTTATTCACAGGATCAGGAAAAAATGTACTTTAATTTCCATTCAGCAAACACAGATGAGGGGGATGAAAAGACTGTCCCAGCACAGCTGTGTCTTGAACATTACCTTAGAAATATATGTCAGGAGGCTGGAGGTACAACTCAAGTGGTAGAGCACCTGCCTAGCAAGTGTGAAGTCCTAAGTTCAAATCCCAGTACCACCACCGAAAGAAAAAGGTTACAAGAGAAATATGTGTCAGTATTTCTTGCTAAAATGACAATCACCAGATTCATCTGTCTCCGTGGTAGAAAAGGACAGAAAAGTAAGTGATAGTGTATTCTTTTATGCTGCTGATTTGGTGATGACTCACATTTTGTTAATAGTTCAGAGGGAAGTAAAATTAATTTGTCTTTCTGCACTGCAGGGAGCCTTTGAGAGGAAGAAATCTTATGATTGGTCCCAGTTCAATACTCTGTATCTCCGTGTCCGTGGGGATGGCCGGCCTTGGATGGTGAATATCAGGGAGGACACGGACTTCATCCAGAAGACAAATCAAATATACAGTTACTTCATGTTCACCCGTGGGGGCCCCTACTGGCAGGAGGTCAAGGTAAAGCGCAAATCACTATTAATAAAAATGAAGTTTTTTGAGATTATGGTTACATTGTAGTTTCCTTTCTCATGCTAATACTTCTTGGAAGGTGGGGGTAGAGTGGGTAGAAGGAAAGGGACCTACGGAAGAGACTTATAGGACATAAATGGGTCTGGGGGCATGGCTGAAGTGGCAGAGTGTCTGCCTAGCAAGCATGATGCCTTGAGTTCAAACCCCAGTACTGCAAAAAAAAAAAAAAAAAAACCAAAAACTTTTTTTGCTAATATAAATGTTATCCAGCCTCCTGACATACATTTCTAAATATATATTTTTTTTTGATGATTTTTTTTGGGGGGTTTGATCTGAGGGCCTTGTTCTTGCCAGGCAGACACTCTATCACTTGAGCCATGACCCCATGACCCTAGCCCAGTAAATAGTTTTGATAAGTATATAGTCAGGTCTATAGGTACATTTCTGCTCTGTGCCCAAGTAAAAGTGTCTTTTTTTTTTTTTTTTTTTTTTTTTT